CACACACACACACACACACACACACACACACACACACACACACACACACACACACACTTTGGTTCATCGCCGTGCTCCTGAGGAGCAGCAGTGCTTCTGATGACAGTCGTGCAGACACACAGGTGATGTTACCTTTGGGCGTGGGTCCGGTCAGAATGAGGTCATCGTGTCCTTTCTCCACCACCTTAACCTTGAACAGCGGCTGCCCCTCCTCCTCCTCGATGTAGCACATGTACTTACAGCGTCTGCGGAGCACGAGCAGAGAGCCATCAGACCGACCAATCACTGCTGACGTCTACCTGTGATCAGACCAATCACTGCAGAGGGAGGTAAACACCCTCTCACACTGTGGTTGGTAATCCGACACCTCCATCACTACTCTGTGTCAGACCGCCTTCTTCCTGTTGCAACCTTTCACAGTAAGAGCTCCTAACATAAACATCTTCCTGCAGATCTAAACTTTGTCTTCCATCAGAGAAAAGTGGGCAGTGTGATGTAGCACAGCGGTGGGCGTGGCAACCGCACATTGATTCTGATTGATAATCTGCACGCTGCTGCTCTTACCTGTTGCTGTGGCGCATGCTCCAGTAGATACGGTTAGCATGGTAACCGACGGGGAAGATGGCCGTCTCGTTGTGGAAGGTTCTCATCTGCTGTGGGAGGAGCCTGCCGATGGCACGGAACAGCAGGCTACCGACCCTGAAGGTGTGCTGCCGCTCGCCACGCTGCACCACGGCTGCGATCTGGCGCGCCTCGTCCCGCTGCACGAACACTCGGCGGAACACCGCGAAGCATCGCAGCTCTGAGTCGTACGGGTCAGAGGCCGTCACAGCCGCCGGGTCAGGGGCAGAGCCGGGAGTGGAGGAGGGTGAGCTGCCGCAGGACCTGTCCCCGCTGAGAGGAACCATCCTGGGTTTATGGAGGTGGCAGAGCATGGTCTTATCCTGGAGAAGAGAGGAGGTGCAGGGTGAGGAGGAGTGCCCGGTGGGCGTGAGCTCAGGTGTAACTCGGCCTTGCGCTTACCTTGAAGAAGGTGCACTGGGCCTGCGAGGCGCAGGTGAAGTGGTAGGTGTTGGTGCAGCGGAGGCGGTTGCAGCCGCTCGTGGCGCCGGTCTGCTGGCAGTGAGCGCAGCGCAGCGTCAGTCCTCGCCTCAAAGCCAGCTCCACGTTGATGAGCGCACCCGCCTGAGTCTCGTACACCTCGCTGGACCACAGGGCGCAGTTAAGGTGCACCTGGGACACAAACACATGGACGACAGGTGAATGGGCCGCACCGCGCCGCCACCAGAGACTCAGAGCAAAGAGCGGCGCACTCACCCACAGATCCAAGTCCAGGTTCAGGAGCCTGGCCGGTCCGTCTGTCTGGCCATCGCCCTGCTGGTGACAGAAGCAGCACCTGCGCTGGTCTCTGGGTAATGGTTCTGGACGAAGACACGCCCCCAGGTTCTTCAACAGCTCATCCACTTCATCCTGTGTTGGCAAGGCAACCGCCTCATTAGAGATGCAAGTACCCCTGCGTGAAAAAGAGAAAGATTACTGATGACAGAACATCCAGGTCTGATAACGCGCAGCTGAGGGCGTCGTGGTGCCACGTGCACTTGCACAGGCTGTTATCCTCAAACACAGTGGTCATTGCTGGAGCAGAGGCTCCGCCCCTTCCCCCACAGGTGCCAAAAACTAGTAGGTGAGGTTCAAATGAGGTCCCTAACATACCTGCTCAGTGTGATGTTAACACTCCAGCGTCGCCAGCGGGAACTCTTCATCCTCTTTCCATGGCACGATGACAGTGAGTCCTCCTCACCTGGGACTGCCCGGGGGCGGGGCTTCAACTTTACCTTCACCTGTAAGCCGGTCAAATAGTCAGTCTTCAAATCAATGACCTGACTCAGTACAATGTTAGTTCACAGGTAACCACGCCCACCTTGAGGCTGTCCATGCGAGGCCTGGTCTCCATGGTGATGGCAGAGGCAGATGGGAAGAAGAGAGGTGGGGTGGAGGAGGATGTCAGGGGAGGCGAGGAGGGAGCACGGGGGAGGGCGTGGACGACAATGGAGGACATGTTGTTGGTGTACTGGTGCTGCACCCTGGTGGGAGGGAGGCACTCGGAGCCGGAGGGCAGGACAGGGACTGCAGACTGACAGCGGGACAGGTGTTAAAGCGGTGCATTGTGGGAAATCTACCTGAACTCCTGACCCCAGACTAAACTGCACCAGGGGAACAACCAACCAAGGAGAAGAAAACAACAACCCCCCCCCCCCCCCCCCCACAGCAGCCAATCGTAACAGCTACCACTATGATTGTAACTAAACCATTGTCTGTGCCTAATCTCAGCGCCAAACACATCAGCCAAATGAAGGCTGGGACACCTGCGGTGTGGGCGGGGCCTCACCTTGGTGCCTGCAGACCTGCTCTGGAGGTCGTTGGTGTAGAGGGTGGAGCAGTTGGGACTGCAGAAGAGCAAGCTGGAGCCGGGTCCGGACTGACCCTCCTGTAACACACACACAGAGGGTGACTTCCTGTCCACTGTGAGGTCACTCTGACCGTCTCCTCTGAGGCGTCTAACCTGTTTGAGCTCCCTGACAATGCGGACTCCGTTTCCCAGCAACACCTTGCAGTAGCTGCAGCACTGAGGCCTGGTGGTGGCAGCGCCGCCCTGCTGGCTGAAGTCCATTCTGACACCTGTAGACACGGTTAGATATGAACAGACGCACAGGTGTGTGCGTGCGTGAGTGTGCGAGTGTGTGTGCAGACCTGTGTTTCCTGTAGCGGCCGCTCTCTGTTTTGTGGCGGATGAACCCTGTGAACACATCAAACAGCTGTCAGTCACCTGGAGAGACGCTCAGCGCCGACAGCGATGAAACAATGCTGCGGGGTGCAGCGATCTCACCTGCGTCAGCGGCACCTGCACGCTCGCCAGCAGGGCCAGAGAGCTCTGCTCGGGACCGGACGCTCGGCTCAGCTGGTAGTTCACAGGGACGGGGACCCGCAGCAGCTCCGCCACCGCCGCCATCACTCCTGGAACGTTCTGGAAACAGAGGGTCACAGCAATGATGACAAGGGGGAGGGGCTACTGATACATCAACATTAATAGCAAGAGATGTTTACCTGGGCTGCAGTGGGGTTCAGGGTTATTGCTATGGTAACCAGGTCTGTGTTCGAGCAGGAAGGAAGTCCCTGATGGTTGGTCTCAGTCTTCACTTCCTGTTTGACTGCAGAGCCTGCACACAGGTGAGCAACAGGTGAGCATCAGTCAGAACAGACAGGCGACATCTTCCAGTCACGCTGTGGCTGACTCACCTTTCCCCCAAGCACAGGGGATCATGGGTAGTGTAGGCGACGGGCAGGGTGAGGGAGGCTCCAGCTTGATGAAGGACAGGTCGGGGTACCGGCTGACCTCTATGTCCGCCACGCTCTCCGGGGACGACGATGGAACGTAGCTGTCGGGGTCATCTTGCTCTGACGAGTCCTGGACCCTGAGGATGAGAAATCACAAAGAAAAGTCAGCACGACTCAAGACGACGACGAGGCATTTGGCTTCACATCTGAGGGGCGGGGCTAACCTGAGCTCCTCCTGGTTGTTGTGGGGTGGGGTTGGGAGGGAGGCAGGCACATCCACTGTCTTGGAGGGATGGTTTAAATTGAGAAGCTCCTCCCCTTTCAGCTTCAGAGCAGACACACCTTTCACTGAGGTAGAAACAGGAGGAAGAGATCAGCTGTTGCTCTCGTGCAGCTGTCAGGTGTCCACATACTTACGGCCACGCTGTCACAGCTGCACAGGCTAACCTGTGCCTGTCAGACAAAGAAGAGGGTCAAATAAGCCTCTCACCATCCTGCTCGCCGACCTCCTTCCTGGTCAGCTCCTCTGTCGTGGCGAAACCATTCACCAGTTTCTGCCTGGCAACAGGAGGCGGCGTCGGTGGCAGGGAGGCCGGAGGAGTGGGGGGGTTACTGAGGTTGTTCTGCTGGAGGAGCAGACAGGAAGTGATGTAAAATTAAACAGCAGTACCACACCATTACTAAAGTATTACCTCAGTACCCATGCAGCGGTACCTTGTATATGAGCTGGGAGTAGTAGTCGGTGACTCCATCCAGGCAGGCGTTGCCGAAGGAGCCGCTCAGCCTGGAGTCTCGGCCCAGAGAGGAACTGCCGTATGGGGGGAACAGACTGAGATCCACCCCCAGGACCGGCTCCATGAGGGGCAGCACTGCCAGCTGTTGATGGAGGGGAGAGGTTTAAACTTTCAGACATCTGCTTCCTGCTCAGTAAACAGGAGGAGACGGGGCTCTACCTGTCTGAGGTGTGTCACCACTGGGTCAGAGGAGGAAGAGGTGGAGCAGGATTGGAGTAGCTTCTCCTCCTCCTCCTTCTTCTTCCTTTTGTACTTGGGAGGAGCTCTGTCTTTGTCGGGCCGGGCGGGTCTCTTGCAGCGTTGCGTCTTCTTCCTGCCGAAGGCGTCCAGCAGCTCTGAGGCAGGACCGTCCCTCACCACCTGGAGGTGGAGCACATGATCAGCTTTTTTAACTAAAAGGTCACATGACATTCCATTTGTCTGCCCTGGCCACCTCCTCACCATGTTGCCATGGGAACCAGGTGCATCTTCCTCTTCAGATCGACAGCCATCGCTGGACAGCTGTCGCCGGGCGATAGGCGGAGCTTGGGTGATGGGCGATGGCGTGTTGGCAGGGGAGGTCTTGTCCCTTAGCAGGTGTCTGAGCAGCTCCTTACCTGCATCGCCTGCCTGATGAGGAGACGTGGGGGAGAACGGCTCTGCCCGGCCCTCCTCCATCTTCACCACCCTGGCTTCACAGGCTGCGGCCTCCTCGCGCTCCTCCTGCAGAGAGACCCAGTAAAGTGACACACAATACCATAGTTCATCCACTATCACAGCATCACTACAGTACCACAGCATCACTACAGTACCACTGCAGCACAAGTGGGATGAAGTGTGAAAACAAGCGCACCTTGACCTTCAGCAGAGCTGCAGACAGGGGCCCTCTCTGGCACTCTGAGCCCAGCCCGGAGGCTCTCTGCTGGGCTGCAGAGATGATGGACAGCTGCCTCTCCAGCTCCGATGATGGGGCCAGACCAGAGAGGGAGGAGCTCTGAGGGAAAGACAGCTCTGATTGGTCCATGCTGCCAAAGGTGGGTGTGGAGCACGCAGTGTCAGAGACAGCAGGGGTGGGAGGGGCAGTGAGGTCATCCGATTGCGAGGACAGTGGCGTCCTGGCCCCCCCTCCTCCTGTGGCTTCCTCCCCGTCCTTCTTCCTACTCCTCTTCTTATTTGGTTTATTGTCCGGGATGATGTCAGAATACAGCTGGATGAGGGAGGCGGGGCCACCAGAGGAGGAGCAGGGGAAGGAAGTGGCCAGAGGAGTGGAGGGAGAGGAAGAGGAGGAGTCGTGTCCGAATAGATGTCCCTGCCCTGCCGGATGGGAGGAGGGCATTCCTGCTGCTCCTATCCCAGCTGGGTGTGCCTGCCCTGGGGCTGAGGGTCCTGTGAGGCCAGGCAGCCTCGGCCTGGTCTGGAGGCTGGAAGGAGCCATGTTCATGGGGGGTTCACCTGTTGGGACAGGGGGCGCTCCAGGGAGTAGAGGCCTCGCCGTGAAGCCTTGGCGGAGGCCCGCCTGCAGGGGAAAGGTCACTGCCATCTGGCTGTGGTGCTGAGGTCGAGGTCTGGAGGTCTGGAGGAAGTCCTGGGGCAGCTCGGAGCTGAAAAAGGGCATCTGAGACAAACCGTCCCCTCCAGGGGCAGGACCCGCTGTCGGTCCCACCTGAGGACCCGACGGAGTTGCGGCAGGAGGCACGGAGGCCCCCAAGAGGCTCTGCTGCTCCAGCTCCAGTCTCTGCTGCAGGACGCGGTGACGCTCCACCTGGAAGCACATCAACAGGATTCATGAGCAGGAGGAGGCTGCAGACACCTCTGACCCTTAACCCCTGACAACCATGCTTTATTCATACACACAACAATGACATACTCATGTGGTCTAATCTGTTCTCGTGGATGTAACCAGGCCTCCAGACTCCTTCTTACCGTAACCCACATTTCTAACATTGACACCTCTGCTGGAGCTCCTTGCTCCCTCCTTGTCTACCATTCAACCATCTTCAAGTTTGACTCTCCTCCAAGGATCGGATGTACCAATAAGGATTCAATCTGTCTGTCAGCTCCACCCTCTTCCCACTGTCCTCGTTAAAAGCCGTCAGACCTCATTGGCCCCCATTATCATCACTATTACTCGTTCCTTCATCATTGAAACCTGCCTCCTTTACTCCCATTCTTAAAAAGCCTGGTACAAATAAATTCATTTAGATATCCGATCTCCTCTTTGTTTCTTAAACTCTTGAGAAAACTGTCTCCTCTCGGCTTCACACACGTCTCAGTAACAACAATAATCTCTATGAACAACTCCAGTCTGCTTTCCATCCACTTCACAGGGAACGACTATTCAAAACGACCAACGTCCTGATGGCAGCTGACTCCAGTTTCCTCGCCATCCTCCTCCTTCTTGAGCTGAGCCGTTGATTTCCGACACCATCCTCTGGAAAGACTGCCCTCCCTGCCTGGTTCACCTCACATCTCTCATATTCAATTTAAAGCTTACTCTTCAAGTTAATTTCCTGTTTCTGCCGGTGTTCCCCAGGGTTCAGTGTTGGGGCCTCTGTTATTCATCACTGAAGTGCTTCCACATAAATATTAGCTTTCACTGCTACACAGCTGACACTCATCTGTATGTTCCTTCCAAACCCAGTCTCACCCCTCCACCCATACCCTCTCTCCCTGCCTCAGTGAGGTTAAATCATGGCTCTCCTCCAGTGTCTCACACTCAGCAGTAATACAGGGAGTGCAGAATTATTAGGCAAATGAGTATTTTGTCCACATCATCCTCTTCATGCATGTTGTCTTACTCCAAGCTGTACCGGCGCGAAAGCCTACTACCAATTAAGGATATTAGGTGATGTGCATCTCTGTAATGAGAAGGGGTGTGGTCTAATGACATCA